CCAAGTACTGGAGCAATGCAAAATAAGTAAGGTGTAAAGATAACATAGAAATATTACTGGAGCAACACACCCCTTTGATTCATACATAGAAATATTACCACTGCCAGCTTGCCAAGTTCCAGCTTGCTAAGTACATAGAAATATTACTAATAAACAGTAAAGGAAGGCTGCCGAATATCTGAAGGTTCGACTTCAGCAAACCCAAGCAAAACAACCATCAGAGTTCCCAAAACCCGGCTCCATCAAACCAAAGTAAAAAAAATAACAAAACTATCAATTTCAAGGTTCAGCTTCAACAAACCAAACCAAAGGAAACCCCTCTACTTTGAAGGTTCAGCAATTTCAAGGTTCAGCTTCAACAAACCAAACCAAAATGTTTAAATCCACAAAATCCATTTAACACAACCATATAAATAACCAAGTTGATGAGTTCAAACCAATATTCAAGAAACTAGCCAAACCGAGAAGCAATTATATCATATGAGTAGCAAAATTGATAACATAGTTCTTAAGAGGCTATAAAAAATAGAATTCAGCCTTTCTCAAATGAACACAGAGCATGTATTTCTTAAATAATTGAGATAAAATATTGGTGAATCAACAACCATGGTGAGATAAAAGTGCTTCTACAGTAATTGAGCCAACAATCATGTATTCATTTCGGAAATGACCAGGTTCTCCAAAAAAAAAAAAACCATGAATAATATGAGATAAAATATTGGCTCCTTAAAAGAAACATATCTCATGGATCCATTCACTAAGAGCCAAGAAGATGCTTTCGCAATCCATACGGGTCAGAACAAGCATAAAATCCTCATATGATTTAAACCGATTGAAAGAATACAAGAGAAAGTTAGGTGAATCAACAAATTCACCCCATTAAATATAACTCATACATTCACTGACCCCTAATCAAGGAAGATATAACAATGAATTCTTCCTTACAATAATCCAACTCTCATGAAGAATATAATGATCAATTTTCACCATAAAACAGCCATATCGACAAGGAAAAAGGTTGTGTATGCTATATATGTAATCCTTTTATATTCATGAAAGGAATAATCAAACTAAAATGTATAACCCGATGATTTGAAATCGTAAAGAATTTTTAAACTATCTGATTCATGTATAACTCGATGCTATATATGTATATCCTTTTTCGAATGGTACTTCCAAAACGACAATCTTCCATTAACAGATGCATACATGCTTAAACCACAAAACAATCTCTAATGTAAAACTGCATAAGATTGGCGCAGTTATCATGGATTTCGGAAGGTTCGGCTTCAACAAACCCAAGCAAAACAATCATCAGATTTCCAAAAACCCGGCTCCATCAAACCAAAGTAAAAATAATAAAAAAAACTATCAATTTCAAGGTTCAGCTTCAACAAACCAAACCAAAGGAAACTCCTATAGTTTGAAGGTTCAACAAATAAAAATGTTTCTAGCAATCAAACAAAATCCCAAGAAATATTCAAGAAACTAGCCAAACCGAGAAGCAACTATTTCAAATGAGGAGCAAAATAGATAACATAGCTCTTAAGAGGCTATAAAGAATAGAAATCAGTATTTCTCAAATGAACACAGAGCATATAATTCTAAGGTTATAAGTGCTTCTACAGTAATTGATCCAACAACAGTGTAATTGCTTCAACAGTGTTTCTACAAAACAATCTCTAATGTAACACTGCATACATGCTTAAATGGGCGCTAGATCTGCAACTTGGATGGACAATGCCAATTTGATCGCAAATCTAAGGGCTCGATTCAGGTAAGAATCGTTAATAAGCTACAGATCCAGATAAAAAATGAAGTATTTTTTCGTGTGCCAAAAGATCAAACTAAGAAAAAGCCATACTTTGTTAATAAGCTACAGATCCACCACAGGAAAGAAGGAGAAAGGAAAAATGGCAGAAACAGGAAAGAGGTGAGAATGAGAAAATATTAGGAGCCGCAAAACGCACATTCTTCCTTAGATCGACAAATAGAAGAAGAAAATGGCTCTTCTTACCTTAGCTCTGTCGGTCGAGGGACGACGAAAGAGGAGAAGGAGAAGGGGACGCGAGGGAAGCAGAGAGGAATCACCTAGGGTAGACGCGGGGAAGCAGCGGGAAATCACCGAGGGTAGACGCGGGGTAAAGGGTAAAAATTTTGGTCGAAAGCGGGAGACGTGATAGTGATGTCGCGGCCCGCTTCCGCCTCCTGAATGCCCGAAGTCGCTAACCAAACAGATAACTTTTGCGAAAAGCTGCGGCAAATGACCGCGCCGCACCTAAAAAGCGCTCCCAAACAGAGACTTAGTCTTTTGGCAATTAACTTTCCCACCAGCCTGACAGGACATCCCATATTGATTCCCCTTGATGATAGAATGTTTTTTAATGATTTGAGAATCTTAATAACCTTAAAATTAAGAGATCTTTAATTCTTTGGATTCCTCTTGTCGAGACGCTCAATTTGACTATAAATATATCAAATTTGGAGTTCATTTGATCATTCAATTGACGATTCAAAGCCGATAAATGTGTTTTAATGACTCATCTGGGTTTGAGTGGACTTGAATTGAACCAATATTATTACTTTTATTGTGTTCTTCTTATTGAGGCAGTTAATTATAAGCTTTGTTGCAATCAGAGTCCTGGGTGATCTTGAATTTAAAAATAAAGAATTTCTTGTTCAAAAATATCTCGAAATTCATGTTAGATGATAAAAAATAAAACACTAAGATGTTGGATAAAACAGACTTTGTTAGGATTCAATTTTACTTTATTTTATTTTTTTTTAGAACATATTTATTTGGTTCGACTTTAACATATATATATATATATATATATATATATATTATATATTCAAAAAATTAATTAATATATTTTAAAAACACTCCACAAAATTTAGATAATTTGATTTTTTTTTTCTTAAAAATATATCTTAATCAAACATATCAAATATATTTTATTTCAAATCAAAACATAAATAAATAAATAAATAAATAATAATTAAAATAGACAATAAAAAATAAAAGTGATCTCAAACGGCACCTTAATTATCTCATGAACCAATTTGGTCTTTCCTCTTTAGTATATTAATAATCAAATTGATATATGATGAATTATAAAGTATAGTGTGATAAAACTCTATTATAGAAATATAAGGAAAAAAAAAAACAATATATTTTATTGATATTTGATCTGACTTGCGTATTGGACTAATCTAGCTTAGTTAATGAAATTTCAAGTCTACCCTTGATGTAATAAATGTATAAATAAATGAAAAAAACTTAAACAATAAGCATGAATGTTTGTAAGGACTTGAATAATTTCTAGTTGTCCAATCCTTTAATGGAATGTAGTAGCTAATGCTAGTATCAAAATATGTGTTATTGTCTTCTTTTTATAAATGATGTATTTGTATTTTGCTCAGGATTGCGTGGAGGAATATTCTCGTCGTCCGAACGTCAGAGATAGATTCAGAATTTTTTCGTGTTGTATTAAGACAGGAGAATCCTTGTACTTGCCCCACCTGTTGTACATCAGCAAATTTGTCATTACTACATCCTTCCAAACGCTATCGAACTCCGTTATTATCATTCGGTCGCTATTACACAACCTCCTCCCTGTGAACTAAGATTCCCAAATGCCTTCTAGAAGCTCTAGAATGAGTGGCATGAACCAAAGCCATTTTTATATCATAAGATTTTCATAAATATATATATATATATATATAAGAAAATTTTAATTTTTAGTAAATATAAAAAAAAGTGGTTAAAATAAATAGGATAATAATTGCTATTAATAGGTTTTAATGGTTTGTGATTGAAAATTTGGAACACCTTAGATTCCACATGGTCAAAGCTATTGTGGCAAGTGAAATTGAACAAGTTAGTGGGTACCCAAAAAGTGTAAGTTGGTGGAGACTCACTGAGTTTAAAGAGTGTTTATTAATGGGCTCAAAATTACATTTTTGTGATTTTTGAATATTTCCTATTATATAGATTCAAATATGACCAAGATACAACTTGTCTGGCGTTATGCAAGTGCTTGCAATTAAATAATTATATTCCCTTAAAAAAATCACATCGACATGTGATGCATTTTGTAGTAATAACAAAATTTGATTTTTTTAAGGGAATATAGTTATATACATATAAATATTTTGTTATAAAATTTATGTAACTTTATATAAGTAAATATTCTATGTCCAAAAAAAAAAGAAAAATAACTTAATTGAGCTATTTTTTTGCAAAAATTAAGTACGAAAATATGACATTGAAAAATCAATTTTAGAATCATGACCCTTAATAACATTACAAAATTAATTATCCCATAATACTAACTTACAAGAAGATTCATTAGAAATCATATATATGGATTTGTTTTTCATTTTTTTTCTTTTTGCAGAACATCTGTGCTAAATTAATCGCAAACACATACACACGACATATGTAAGGCTTTGAACCCAAGAGCTCTTAGTTGAAAGACCTAGCACTCAATCACCAAATCAAGTTTGGCTGCATATATGTCTGTAGGTGTGTCAGTTTAGGTCCGGCCCGAACCGGGTCAACCCGAATCTGACTCGAATAAGAAACGGGTCAAATTTTCTAACCCGAACCTGACTCGAAAACTATTCAGGTCAATCTGAATCCTGATTTTTTCGAGTCGAGTTCGAATTGTATTGAAGTGTTAGGGTCAATTTTTGACACCCCTATATGTTTCAGTTGGTTTAATGTGTGAGTGAGGGAGAGAGAGAAGAGTTTAAATGCATATATAATATCTTGAATATGTATGGAGAAATGAACATAAATATAAAAGTTTTGAGGAGAGAGAAAGTATGTAGGAGAAGAAATTTTTTGGTAAGTGATATATCACTCTATAAATTTGTAGTGGGCCATAGCCCACCAGCCCATTAAATTAATGGTACAATGATACACATGCACCTCCATTATTGATAAATAAAGCCCATAGGGCTAGCCTTAGCAACCCCTACTAACACTACTAACTTAGCATAGAATTTTACGCGGAGGCCGGCTAGACGTCTTCACTCTTCACATCACCTGAAACTGCTTCCATGGCTTCCTTCTCCTCCGCAGCTATAATCTGTCGGATCAGGTTGGATTGATCTGAAACAGGCAAGATTTCACCATGGCTGCAGCTCAGTTCGCTTGCAGAATGTGATCGGTGTGCTTGATTGATCAGAAGTTGTTCCCGGTTCTGATTTGGTTGGGGAGATGGGATGTTTCCCTTGCTTCGGATCGGAGGTGGTGGATTTCCATGCACGTGATGAGGGGGATGCGAAGAAGGAAGAAAAACCTATGGTGGCTCCCCGTGTGAGAAGGCTATCTTCCGGTATGTTTGAATCCTTGATCCTATTGTTAAGATTTATCAATGGGTGGATCTGGATTTGTTGGCGATGTTATTTTGCTCGTTTTAGATTGATCTGATTTGTTTGTTTCCGGTGAATTTTTTTTTATTCGATGAATTGTGGTTTGAGTTGGGCCAAGTTATCTGATTATGTTTTATAAAATCAGTTTTGAGTGGATTCTCTGGTGGTTTTGCTGGGTCTAGTTGGTTAATCTTGTCGGTTTGGTCGCATGGATCTATACATCATTGCTTATGCGCAATCATTGCATGCGCTTGTTGAGGAGTGTGATTTAAATTCCATTTAGGAGAATACGGAATGCTGATGTTTGTCTTGGATTCTTTATTCAGCGGAACATAAAGGGAGGCTAATTTTGGTTGGCATTAATTTGCAGGATCCGATAGGTTTAGGACCCGAAGCAATTTAGGGAGTAAAAGGGAGACATTAACTGTGAAGGATGGGTCTGGTGTGGCTATATCTGCTCAAACATTTACATTCAGGGAGCTTGCAGCTGCAACTAAGAATTTTAAGCCTGAGTGCTTCTTGGGTGAAGGGGGGTTTGGCCGAGTTTATAAAGGTTATTTGGAGAGCACAGGACAGGTGACATGTTTTTCATTTACTAAGAATTGGGTTGTATGCAACTAAATTATTATTTGTTTTGCATAGATTTGATATTCTAGTTTAATATTAGGAAAATTTACATACATAGTATAGCGCTTTGGTGCTTTAAACCTATGGATGAAAATGTGTATTTTACTTTTAGAAAGTGGTAATGGTGCTATCTTTGTTGTGATATTAAAGATTTGAGTTCTATGTGTGTAAATATGAAAGCTTAGGTGTGAGATATGTTAATGCATTAGAATTGTGTGCTATCTATGTAAATGCCTAAGTTTGAATAATTATATTAGTGCGATATATACAATTGACAAAGGCTAATGGTGAGGAAATTTTGTCTCAAAACTTTCAATTTTACTTCCAGTATGTTACTTGGATTGATGAATTTATTTTTTGTTGTGTTGCAGACAGTAGCTGTAAAGCAGTTGGACAAGGATGGGCTACAAGGAAATAGAGAATTCCTTGTGGAGGTCCTCATGCTTAGTTTGTTACACCATCCAAACCTTGTTAGTTTAATTGGTTATTGTGCTGATGGAGATCAACGACTTCTTGTATATGAGTTTATGCCACTAGGATCTCTAGAAGATCATTTACATGGTAAGATTATTAAATTTCCATCTATATTAAAAAAATTTCTTTCTTCACCTTATTGAGTGTTGCACGAGGTGCTAATATTATTATTATTATTTTTTTGGCATAAGTCCTAACCGCTTTACCTTTAATCTCTCCAAAATAATTTTATCTATTTCTCATTGTGCCTATCTATCATCTATTACACATGGTTAAATCATGTAAGTTTATTTTTCACAATCTTATACATAATTATTTAAGAATTGTCTGTGCTGTCCTTCTATTATCTATGTGCTTATCACACACACACACATATATTCAATTTTGAGCTTTTAATATTTTAGTTTTTTTGTTCTTTAATCCTACCAAGTAGGTTTTCTACGGTCCGTCATTCTTCATCCTCGGCACTTTTTTTTCGTTAGAATTGGGCATTATTTCAGTTAATTAATTTGATTTTGTGGGTCAATATGATAATAACAATTATTATCAATAACACAGAGTATGAGGCAATTTTCGTTAGTTTTCGGTGGAACATGCTTTGGCATATTTTAGGTGGAACATGCTTTTTCAAGTTTGGAAGGTAATTTTGGGAAAATTTGTTTTGCAAATATGTATATGTAATCATAAATGAATCTATTTAAGTGTGAAGAAGTCTATCAAAATAAATATATAATATACATTATATGTGATACGATGGTAGAATTTAATTGCTAAGAATTTGTCAGCCATTTTTGGTATGCCATTAACATATGGAAGATGGAACCTTATAATATAATCAAACTTGATGTGAGATACGAATGTTAGTTCATTATGAAGGTTTTTAGTAGCAATGTAAAGGTCTAGAACCTATGGGTTGAGATGGGAGATTCAATTCTTTTTAATGGAAACATAAATATTGGGATTCTCAACTAAGTAGAGAAGAAGCATTTTTGTACAAATTTAAGAATGAAAGAGATGTTCAAAATTGCAATAATTATATGTAATCAATTTTGCAAGAATGAATGAAACTATGAGAGAAGCAAGTGTCATAAGAAAAATAATGCTGTAATCAAGAAATCGGGTTTTTATGCTCTATTAAATCCGATAATTATATGTAATCAATTTTGGAAGAATGAATGAAGCTATGAGAGAAGCGAGTGTCATAAGCAAAATAATGCCGGAATCAAGAAATCGGGTTTTTATGCTCTATTAAATCCACAATGGAAGTTTTTTTTTTAATTTTTTTAATTTTTTTAATTTTTAAGCTCTTTAATGGATAAATATAGTAAGCAAATAAGACACATTCAAATTCTTTTTTAACCTTCAAAAAGTATAGACTCAATTAACATGCAATTGTTTTTGTGCGCATTAAGCAAAAAACACTTCATAAAATGCATGTTTAACTTATTAAAGTTTAGTTTAATAGATGTTTAACTTATTAAAGTTTAGTTTAATAGAGCACTAACCATAAAAAAGTATAGACTCAATTAACTTGCAATTGTTTTTGTGTGCATTAAGCAAAAAACACTTCATAAAATGTATGTTTAACTTATTAAAGTTTAGTTTAATAGAGCACTGATTAGAGTAAAGAACCTGTTATTGACCAAAGGGTCTCCATCATAGTATAATTATATTAAAGATTAAATTAAGTTTGCACATTTTCATATAACTAAAGGAGATATTTGCAAATTATATTTAATTTGAGACAGCTTATTATGTGATTTTTGCATATGATGTTAATTTGAGATACCTTAGCATATGCTATTTGCAAATGACAGTTTTTTAATATGTGAGATTTTTGCTAAAATAAGTGAAGAGTTGAAAAAATGGAGAAAGATTTTTGAAGTTAAGGGGATTCAGATTAGTAAAACAAAATTCGAGTATACAATATATTATTTTTAATGAAGTGGTATTAGTAATGATTAATCGATATTGTTGGAAGATCAAATGATATCTAGATATAGTTGGCTTAACTATCTTGTTTTTATCATATATAATTGGTGATATAGTTAATGATACAACTTTTATGATTAAATGTGAGTTGTTAAGGTGAACAAACTCTTTCGGAATACTATTTGATTAAGAAAATAATGTAAAAAAATTATAGATAAATTTGACACAATTGCATATCAAACTTTAGGAAAATTATAGATAAATTTGACACAATTGCATATCAATTATTCTGCAACCAATTTAAGTGTGGGCATTAAAAAATTCATTGATAGCCAAGCTTACTTATGGTACAAAATTAGAGTTTTAGGACGAAATATATAGAATTAGGAAGATAGATTTTGAAACTATCATTTTAGAGAGATTGTAGGGGTAGTATCCTGTTAAGATCAGATGGTGATGGTCAGACTTCTGTGGTTTTGGGCATAAACAGTATAATTAAATGATGTATCATCAAAATGGGTAGATAAAGTTTGTGAAAAATTTAGGAAGCAAAGTGATTGGCCAATGATAGAAGTCGTATAAAAATTACATAAAATTGAGTTAACACCAAATTGTAGTATTTAGAGTTATTTATTAATGAAAATTGTTTAAACTCTTCCAAGTAGTTGGGACTAGGTTAATGATGATGATGTGCACTATGGAAGTATTATTCTCCTAAGTGGTTTTGTTTATCTTTTTCTTTAGTTAACAAGTTTGATTCATACTCATTTTTAAGGTGCTTAGCATTTCCAATTATTCTTCTTTACGATGAGCCATGATTATTTGATATATGACAAATATGAATCACATATAATGCCTTGATATTTTAGTTAAATTTCTTTTATTAGTTTATTTAAGTCTTCATTTTACTTGTCATGAGCAATATGGTTTTTTTTAGTTGAGGATAAGTTAGATGTCTTATTTTATAATATATTTAATTATAAATTAAGGTGAAGAAGTCATGTAAAAACAAACTTTGATTATGAATTAAATGATGTTTGACATGTTTCTTCCCTCTTGTCGGGCAAGGTGTTTCATTAGTCTCTCTTCTCCTTCGCTTCCCAGTCCTATAATGAGTGCAGTCAATAACACTGTAAACAATGAGGTACTAAAATAAATAATAAGCTTCCTATTTGTTGTCTTCAAGTCTCCTTTGTTTTTGAAGTGAGACAAACTGGTGTTACCAAATTATATTTTTGTCTCACCCTTATAATTTAAAAAGTGCTTACTTCTTATTATAAATAGGAAACTAGCTGAATTCATGAATTTGAGATTCTCCAAAACCATCATATATACTCAGTTACCGAGGTATATTCTTACTTTGCTTTTTTTCTGCTCAGCACTGAAACCAGAAACCAGCTTTTCATTATTCAAGCTGAGATATAAATTTAATTTCCATTTAAAGTATTAGTAAATTCTTTACATTGTCGACCTGTTTAAAAAAAATTGAAAACCCAATTTAAATGACCATTTTGTGCAGATCTTCCACCTGATAAGGAGCCTCTGGACTGGAATACAAGAATGAAAGTTGCTGCAGGTGCAGCCAAAGGGTTGGAGTACCTCCACGATAAAGCAAACCCTCCTGTTATCTATCGAGACTTCAAATCTTCCAATATATTGTTGGATGAAGGTTTCCATCCAAAGCTCTCTGATTTCGGGCTCGCGAAGCTAGGTCCAGTTGGTGACCAGTCTCATGTTTCAACTAGAGTAATGGGGACATATGGTTATTGTGCTCCGGAGTATGCCATGACTGGGCAGTTAACAGTTAAATCTGATGTGTATAGCTTTGGAGTTGTTTTCCTAGAACTTATTACTGGAAGAAAATCTATTGACAGCAGCAGGGCACATGGAGAACAGAATCTTATTCCTTGGGTAAGTTTCCACAGCTAAAATTGTAGTCCTAGTGAGCTAATTTTGATTGATTATAATGCTTTTCTATTTCTAGATATAAATGATTATTTCTATAATGACTCAATTGAGGCAGTCCTGGGCAGATTACTAGATAGCTCATATACTTAATAGATTTTGGGAGTTATGAATTTTATTAGGAAAATTTACATATCTAACACTTACACTTCAGTTTTTACATACATGCCACCTTAATATGCAGGCAAATGTGTATTTCACTTTTTAAAACAGAACATGGTGGTATTTGATATGACATGAAGGTGGTATAAATGTCAAAAGTAAATTTTAGGTGCCACATTTTATTATACTGCAATTTGGGTAATTATCTACTATGATTGGTCTTGCAAACAAATGTCATTCAGTGGCTCATATTATTCCTTGGAAAGGGCTAATTTAAATCAATGAACGTATCTAATTATGTGGACTGGGAATTTTCCGCTGGATTAAAAACTGCTTCAGGTCAATTATCAAAATAATGTCTATGTTCCATTCTTGATATTCTTCATATGCCGAGCAAGTTGGAAAGGAACATCAATCACTTGAAGTTTCCATAAGCATGCAATAGTTCAAAAGTGGCTCAAAGCCTTCCCCTGGGCCTTTACCCTCTCGGAAAGCTTCGAATACACAAGCCAACTTCAGGAATTTAGCAAGGAAGGTTTACATAAATACCACTTAATTCCTATGTTTACAGATCTGGCACTTAAACTTCATTTTTTACATAGATGCCACCTTTCCTATGCATGAAAAAGGTGTAATTCACATTTTAAAAGTTAAAATAGTAGTATATTTAATGTGATATGAAGGATTTGGGTGGTATAAATGTAAAAATCAAAATTTAGGTGTTATATATGTAAATTTATAGGAATTGAGCGGCATGTATGTGAGTGCCCCTAAAATTATGTTGAGGTGTGGAGCCTGGAAGCACCCACAAAGCCGCATAAGGAAGCACCCAGAGAAGCGCACACCAAGTTGTTTTGGAGAGGCGTCAGAACCACGATTGTTTCGAGTGTAGTTACGTCGGACGTCAAGTAATGGTGTAGCTACGTTGCGGTCCCTCGTTTCAAGCTTAGGAAACAGTAAGAGTGAAATAATTTCTTACGCCCTTTTTTCTTGAAATAATTACGCATCTTTTGGGCATACCTACTTTGTCGGAACTATTTCTTTTGTTCGGACCTTAAGTCTTTGATTTGAAGCGGTGTCTCTTCTATCTCTCGCATGCGTTATTTCTCGACAGTTCTTTGTGTTAATTGTCGGGAGGGCTTTGAAGTTTTGCAAGTTTTAGTGATTGTAGAGAGAAAATTTGAGGGCTTTCTTTGATTCATAGTGGAATTTTGGTGTTGTGTATCACCGTGGTTTTTTTCTTCTTAAGTTTTTCCACGTTAAATCATGTCATACTTTTCTCATATTGTTTTGTTGTGCTTTTGCTCGATTTTTTTTTATTAAGGATTTCTTGAATTGGTGTTTTTATTTTCCTCAGTGTAGTTTGGATTGTGAACCAATTGAACCCCTAAGTAATTAATTCATCTCAACAAGTGGTATTAGAGCGGGGTGTTTGATTCTAGTGGGAGCAATGTTCGACAAAGCTAGGTACAAAGTGAAGTTCATTGGATCGAACTTCACATTCTGGAGGATGTAAGTAGAGGATTTGTTGTATTAGACAAAATTATATCTGCCAGTACAAGGAATCACCAACAAGCCTGAATCGATGACTATTGAGGAATGAGAAGTGCTGGATCGAACGACCCTTGGTTTGATCCGTTTGTCATTTTTCTCGTATGTTGCATTCAATATAGTGAACGAGAAAATCACGGTGAATCATATGAAGGCGTTGATAAGGGTGTATGAAAAATATTCTGTTTCAAATAAGATTTTTTTGATGAAGTGTTTATTCAATATAAAAATGTTTGAAGGGAGATCATTGGCAAAACACGTGAACAATTGCTACTGTAATTAGCCAATTATGTTTTGTGAAGATTAAATTTGATGATGAGGTCAGAACACTGTTAATTATGTTTTCATTTTTAGATAACTGAGATGATTCAGTCACGGCGGTGAGCAACTCTTATGCATATATAAAGTTCAACTTCAATGACATTGTGGGGTTGATGCTGGATGAAAAAGTTCGTTGAAAGGCAATGAACGATGAATTTTCAGGTTCTACATTAATGTTGATAATATGAGAATGAATTTGGATAGGAATACAGACATAAACAAATTGAAGTACGGAAGATAAGAATCTGGATCAAGCAGAGGAAATGTCAGAAGAGAATGTTAAAATTGCGGGAAGAAAGACATTTCAAGAAGGTCTGTAAAACTCCAAGAAAGAATTTTCTCTACAAATGTTTCCACTGATAAATTCCAAGATGACTCCCTAGTGTATACTTATTCAGTATTAAATCTTGAATAATAGATTCATGCACCTCTTTTCATGCATGCCTCAATAAAAATATATTTAAAATTATACTCTGAGTGATCTAGGGATGATTTATTTGAGAGATAAAAAGACCTGTAATATTGTGCAAAATAGTGATGTAGATATCATGTTGTCAAATGGAATAATCTGTAAGTCAGTGAAGTCAGACATGTTCTAAGTTTGAAGAAAAATCCGATCTCTGTGAGCTAGCTGACAAAGTTAGGGTACGTGATTACTTTCACAGACGACTCGTGGAAGGTGAACAAGTGGGTAGTGGCGATGGCTCGGGGCAATATTGAAGGCTCTCTTTACCTGATCAATGAAATGGTACATTTTATTGATGTTGTAGGAACTAAGGTGGATGCAGGTCTATGACACAAGTTTAACCAAATGAGCGAGAAATGTATGAAGTCTCTATTTTTAAGAATAAACTTGAGGGTTCGAAATTTGCATATTAGGATTTATGTGAAGATTGTATATATGTCAAACAGAAAATTTCTTTCTTCAAAGGTGGGTCAATGATGAAGTCAAAGAAACTGAAGTTAGTGAATACTGGGGTATGAGGTCATACTCCAGCTCAGTCCATTAGAGGTCCACAATTTTATGATATTTATTGAAGATCATATCTGAAATGTATGTGTTTACTTCTTAAAATAAAAGTTTCATGTATTTATAGTATTTAATAAGTTGAAGGTCATGGTAGATAATAGGACATGTTTGAAGCTGAAGTGTATCGTATCAGATAATAAGGAAGAGTATTTTGATCAAAGGTTCATGAATTACTATGCTTTAGAGATCAGACATGAGTTCAATGTTCCAAAAGCTTCACAGCAGAACGGAGTAGTCGAGCGCATGAATAGAACCATCACAAAGCGTGTTAGAAGTATAAGGTTGCATGTATACTTTCTGAGGCAATTCTAGGCAGAAACAGTGAATATTGTTTGTTTGATTAATCGTGGTCCGTAAATATTTTTGAGGCAAGACTTACCTGAAGAAATCTGGAGTGACAAAGAGGTAAATATATCTCACTTGAAGGTATTTGGGTGATGCATATGTACATATTGATGCAGAATCCCGGAATATGTTTGACTTAAAATCTGTTAAGTGCACTTTTATTCAGTTTGACTCGAAGATTTTTTGGTACAATTTTGGGACTATCAAAATAAATAATTTATTAGGAGCAGAGATATTTATTTCAATGAAATGAAGATATACAAAGACAGAATAATAACTCCGAATTATCTGTCAGTTACTTTTGAAAAGTCCAAATATGTTGAGATCATGGAGGTAGAGAAAGAAACACTCAATTAGATGAATCATAGGAGTTTCTCAGTCATATGTTACTTAAGAGGTTCAATTGAATGATACGATCAGTACAGATGTATTCTATTTCTTTGTACTATTTGTTGATAATGATAACTGTAAATCAAAGTGCTATGAGAAGACCACTTAAGTTGAAAATTCAAAGTAGTGGGAGTGTGCCATTAATGATGAAATGTAGTCTTTAGAGTGAAATTAGACCTGAGATTTGATGGTATTACTAGATTTCAAAATAACACTACATGGGAAGTGAGTTTATAGGCTAAAAAATGAGTCAAATGGTAACTAACGCTACAAGACAAAACTTATTGTGAAAGGGTTTCAGCAGAAAGGAGTGAACAGTACTGATATTTTTTCATTTGCTCAAAATAAGATCGTTAACAACCCTACATATCTACACCAAGCACCGGCATTGCTAAGCCACAGTCCCTCGTTCCATGCTTACAAATAGTGAGCACAAAATATTTACGCCTCTTTTGGGCATGCTTACGTCGTCGGGACGGTTTCTCCTGTTCTGTTCTCAAGTCCTCGATTCAAAGCGTCTCTCTTTTATCTCTCCCCTGCGGCGTTTCTCGACAGGAGTTTTTCGTGAAGGTAAATTATCGAAAGGGTGATTTCAAAACAAGAGTCTTCTCTTGTGACATCGAGAGGAAGGTTTAGAGCGAATATCTATAAGATCCAATGATTATAGAGAAAAGATCTAATTGTGTATCTATGCACATTTCTCCCATTCATAGTGGAATTTTGGTACGGCGTGGCTCCATGATTTTTACCCGTTCTCGAATTTTTCCAAGTTAAATACCTGTGTGCTTTTCTTGGATTATTTTATTGTGCTTTTGTTCGATATTTTTCTTATTCCAAATTTCTCGAATCAGTGTTTCTATCTTCCGCGTTGTGATTTTGATTGTGAACCAATTGAACCCTAACGGATTATTTTATTGTGCTTTTGTTCGATATTTTTCTTATTCCAAATTTCTCGAATCAGTGTTTCTATCTTCCGCGTTGTGATTTTGATTGTGAACCAATTGAACCCTAACTAATTAATCCATCCCAACAAATTATATCTGGCTGAACTAGGAAAGGATCTCATTAATGCCACTCGGTTGTTTTTTTCTACACTCATATAGATAACCAATTTCACTCTACTTGCTAAATACCAAAAGTTTTGCTGTAGCGGATTTATCTAAAATAGCCTTAACTCTCTGCATTTTATCTATATAATATAACTAAGTCTTCATCCTAACTCTGGAGAATTTTAGCCCATGCAAGCAGTTTTCATGAAATTTCAAAAGTTTTGTTTAGTTTCTTAAAGCAGTGAGGCCTCTAGAACTAGATGAGGGTGGAGGAAGCTATTTAGAGAAACATCTAGATGGTGGTAGGGATTAGTTTGTTCATGTTAACATTGGACCAGCTTGATGCATCCATAGTTTTTTATTCATTGTTTTTAGTATTATTGCATGATGCTCTACCTTGTGTTTTCTCATAATACCATAACTGAGAGATTCCTGCAGGCTCGGCCGATGTTCAGTGATCGAAGAAAGCTCTCTAAACTCGCCGATCCTCGGCTCCAAGGCCGGTATCCGATGCGAGGGCTCTACCAAGCACTAGCTGTGGCCTCCATGTGCATCCAGGAAGAAGCAGCCGCTCGCCCGCTCATCGCCGATGTTGTAACTGCACTATCTTATCTTGCATCCCAAACATCCAGCCACCACCCTGAGGACCAGCGAAGCCGTGGGTCGAGGGATCGAGAAAGTCAGGAGGATGGGGGCAAATGGGATGCCTATGCCCTCGAAAAAGGCGATTCTCCGAGAGAGATTGCTAACATAATGAACAAGGAAGTCGACCGGGATAGAGCGGTGTCTGAGGCGATGATGTGGGGAGCAAACTGGAGGGAGAAACAACGTGCCGCAACCTCCAGCGGCGCTGCTGCCGCCGCCGCCAATCAGGTAACCTTTGATACATTGAATGTGAATGAATAGAGAAATTTGCATTCTTGAATTTACAGATTGATCTAGGAGGTTAGATTATGTGAAAGCCTTTCTGTGTTTTTTAGTTTATGGAAAGGGGAAGGAGCTGGGAAAGGGGGATGATGGGAGATAGGGTTTGGTCTGTATTTTGCAAATAAATGAGGTGAGGTTTGTGGTGCAAAAATGATCTTTTGTTGGTAGTGTGTGATGGGAATTTTTGTGGTGAGGAAAAATCAATGATATATTTCATTTTGGCCCTTGAAATTAAATGTTTTTATTATTATTTTTATTTTTTCTTTTGATTTTAGTGATATAAGTAGTTGGATTGAAAAGGGGATAATTACATGCAAGGACCTGAAATATTATTATTTACAAAATCTAGCGTCCAGTTGATATTTTGGTACTATATAATTGATGTATTTATGAATGTCACGATCAAATCATTGAGAATTTAATAAAAATGAAAAATACGGGCTGTGATTTGATTTATGGATGAAAGGGTTAGATTTGTAAATAGTAATCTTTCAAGTGCTATGTATGCAAAAAAGTGGTGAATCAAGGGGAAAAGAAAGGGATGTGCAACCATTTATGTGCATATTAATAAGGTATTATAATATTATTTAAAGATCAGAGTTCTTATTTGAGATATTATTTAACCTAAAATTTTATTTCATCAGTTGAGGCATGAATTTAAATAAATAAAAAAAAAGCATTTAAATATTTTATTGATGAAATTTAGAAGGTGAAAATTATTATCTAATATATATTATTCCTTGTATTTGAAAATATGAGCAATAAAACAATTATAATTTAACAAAAAAATTATTATGAAAAAAAATAGTTATTTATTTTTTATACAATTATATATTTATGTTATTAAATTAATTTTAGAAATATTTAAGTTTTTTTTTAAATTTTTTTTTAAATTTGCATGATATTGATGAAATAATAATTGAATTGTGGTAAAATTCTTATTTTGAATATATATATATATATATAGTACCTTGGAATTATTGTGGCGATAACAGGTGATAATACCTTGTTTAAAATACATCCACTAACGCTTAAGACGAATTATTAAAAAGAAAAAAAAATTATAAATATTTTTAAAACATCAGCAGTGAACAAGATGAAATGGCTACTAATCTTTAATTTTTAAAACATTAGCATTCATTTATGTCATTTTTAAATGGTTTCACTAGCTATATTCATATTATCTAAGGGTGAATTTGGGGCTTCTGTTGTTTGACGATATTTGTAGTCATTTTCATCAATGAGTTCACCCTGATGTGGAAATACTAGCCGATTGTCTCTGCAGAGTGCTGGAAAAGCTCAGAGCAGCACGAATGAACTCATTGTGAGAAATAATGAAAAGCGTGATGGCTGGACTTCTCGGGATGTAAATTGCAAAGATCCATGCAAACCGTATTTGGATTGCAATTCATACAGTAAATCGCAGAAAATAGCAGATGGCATTGACACAAGGTGTCTTACAAAAATTTCTTTAGTAATACTCATTAATTAGACAAATTGTGCAGGTAAGATCGTTACTTGCTCAACAATCTCTATAACCTCCTCATTTGGTGGCTCCATTTCTCTGAAAGAATCATGTTTAGCTTATTTCAAAAGAACATGTTATTCTCATAGCAGGAAAATACTTACGTTGTGTGTAATGAAAGTAGGTTTAAGTATGAAAATCCACAAATACTTAAACACCAAAATAGTTCGCACAAGCTAGATTTCAAAATAAAAATGTAAAATATTATACAAACTCAATTTGATGTAGTATAAACATTTAAAAAAACAAATGTGCATGCTATCTGACTAATCTAAATCTCTAAAAAATGTGAAATATTATACTAACTCAATCTGATAAGTAGCTAATATGTTCGTCGGTTCTCGTATCCTATAATCATCTACTAGGTGGAAAGGATTCTAGAGGTGACCCCTACAGTGCATAAGGTGACTCCCACCATGTAGCACTTTGTCCCATTAAGGGTTCAAGAAGTGGCTCCATGACATAGTACTTTGTTTTGTATGACATTTAGTTCTCATTTCTACTGGTGCACTTTTCTGATACCAGTCATGACAGTTTGAACTCTCACACATCAATGTATTATTCACTTTGGCCTATTGGCCTCACTGTCTTACTCTGCTGGTGCAACTTCCCAGAAGGCTGCCCATCCTAGTTTTGCTCCAGCCTAAGAGCACTTAACTTGAAGTTTCAATTGAAATTTCAACATTAAACCAAAAAGTGTCTTGATGTTTAAGAATGAAATTTAATTCTACTTAAGGAGTTTCACACTAACCATTAAGGTCAGAATTCATTATCCTGACCATCTTTAAGATTAGAATTGTAATCCCAACCATAAAAAATTAGGCTAATATATCAAGTAGGACAACCATCGCGCCAATAGAAACACATTTTGACTTTCTAACACAATGATATAACCTAATTTTTAGGCTGCCTAAAATTAGAGTTATAAGTCCAAATCTTTCCAATAAATTAACTCCAACTCTATATAACGATTCCTCCAAATTTTATCATTGATTGTTCATAGAATGGGCAATTTGGGTTAGATGCCTTAATCATGAAGGCCTCTCTGTGCTCAAAGTATTCTTTTGAGTCAAATAAACTATAACCTAAAACTTGAGTAACTTAGAGCTCTCTTTCTTAAGAAAAATTAAGTATATAATATAATTTTATCTATCATATGACCTAATCATCTCAACAATAAAAGATAGACCTAGAATTTTTATTGAATCAAATCTTTAATCTAGACTACAACATTAAATGATGATATGAGGTACTAAGCACATATCCACTCATATAATTTAATGCACTATCTCGTAAAATCAATAATTCAGTCTTAAATCATTAAATTAGCCAAGTTATACCTCTGAGCCAAAGGTATTACTTCTTGATTACAATTAATCATGCTTCTAATCTTATAACAAAATATGATATAATTTATTTAAGCCATGCCATCGAACCCTCAATGATCTCTTACTTCAACCACAATTATTCTTACTAGTATCTCAAAGATCTTCTTAATTCAAAATTCAATATTTGATCCTCACCATAAGAGGGTGTATATCCTCCAACACACTATCATTTTACCTTAGAAAATCTATTACACATGGCTGCTAATTGTACCCTTTCTTTTGTTAATGGTTGATTAAATTAATCATCCATTATTATAAACAAACTCCTAATCACTATCAATAATATAATTAACTCCTTAATTGATTGTTTAATGATTACTCCTAAAATATAATTAATCACATAGGCTTACAATTCTAAGAAACATTGACCTTTACTAATTAAAATAATCTTTATTTATTTCACTGTATAGGACAATTTATGAAACCTCTTTTCCATTCATCGTTCGAAAGTAAACAACTTTTCATGTTCTAATAAAAACCCCATAGATTTATAATGACCACTTCAAAAAGATTTAAATTTTATGGCATAGTGATCATGGTCATGTTCTATAATAAATTGCAAAAATCTATTTCGCATGAGTCACCTAAAGATCAAGTCCTGAGTTTTCCATCCTACTTCGTGATTAGAAGCATGCAAAAAGATAATTGTTTTTGTAATAACAATCAATAAAATAGAGAGATCCAACTTTTGGATGTCATGTTCAAGACCAACAAAATGGGCATTTGGCCTATCAGGTTTCAAGTTAGATGCCTTCTAGTCAAATTAAATGGGCATATAGCTTTCTAGTCAAGTTAGATGCATGAAAATGTGTATTTCACATAAAGTAATGATATTTTTGATGTGATATGAAATATTTGAGGGCTGTAATTGTAAAAAAGCAAAGTTTTGGGTGTTAGATATGTAAATACATAAGAACTGGGTTGTATGTATGTAAATGAACCTAAGAAAATTGTCCCAAATAGACCATGTTATGGCTCAAGGTACTAGAGAAAGTTGAAACAAGTCTTCTATATACAAGTTAAAATAATATTGAAGGAAGCAAGATAAACAATACAGTTGTTAAAATTTTCAACAATTTTATTAAATAATTATGACTTTTCGTCAATAAACAATAATATAATGTTGAATAGTTCAGTAGTAGAATACATACCTTGAGCTCTCATCTTGGCGTGACTTCTAAGCAACAGGATGAGAACCATATATCTACAATGTCCACCTTATTAAACAAATTGTGAAGCAACAAACTAGCTTTACATAAACAACCCTCCAGGAAGAACAGCTGCTTTGCTCCAAAAATTTGAGCCAGAATAATGCAATAATAAGAAAAGATGAGGTTAGAATTGCAGATAATGAAGGGTGGATTAGGATGGTTCCGAAAAATTGCGACGGGAATCGGCAAAATCTCTGATGATACGTTTCAGTGTTCTTCCACCCTGTCCCTGCATGTGGCCATGATCTATCAGGGCATCATCAGAAGTTTTGCTTGCAAGATAATCTGATGCTGCGCTTGCCAGAGCATTCAGCCACAGTGGTATTAGGGTTTCAGCTTCTCCTAGTCTGAGATACTCTGGGGGGAGAGTTTGGACCTGTCAAACAGATATATGTGTCAGTTATTAATAAAACAGATCATAGAAAAAATAAATTTAAATAAATAGCACTCAAAACGTTGTTATTTACAAATCTAGAACCCTCTTTCATCCGCTTTCAAAATCTCACTCAAATATCAAAATTCACAATTAAGTCCAAACCTATGTTCTTCATTTTGACAAATTTCAAATGGTGTAATTATGGGATGCATAAATACACCGACTCGATAGTTAAACAACAACAACAAGTCTTTATCCCACTAAGTGGGGCCAACAATCAAATCCTTTTTCTCCATTGTGTCCTATTGAGTGTCATATTTTCATCTAATTCAAATAAATTAAGATCATTTTTTCTACAATATTGCCAAATCTTTTTAGGTCTACCTGTGCTTTCTTAACATAAGTTGAATCTAAATATCTACCCTCCAACCGGATTATCAAATGGTCGACGTTTAATGGCCAAACCATCTAAGACGACACTCTCTAATCTTGTATGCACTAGAGCAACACCAACTCTTTCACGATACATTCGTTTTGCATTTTGTCTCTAAGTGTCACGCCACTCATCCACCTAAGCATTCTCATCTCATCAACACTTAATTTTCTTCTATGCTTCTCTTTTAAAAGCCAACATTCTGTGTCATAAAGCTTTGCAGGTCTCACGACCATCTTATAAAATTTTCATTTTTAAGTTTAAGCAATACTTCTCTATCACACAATTGGACTGCTGCATTCCTCCACTTCAACCAACCAACCTGAATTCTACTAATAACATCCACATCTATATCACCATCTATATCACCCACATCTATATCACTATCACTTTGAATAATCGGCCGGAGATATCTACAACATTCACACCTTTTCGTAATAGTTCAAGGGGAAAAAAGAAAGAACCGGGCACTAGTTTTATAAATAATAGAGTTTCGAGTGATATGCATGTATTTATGTAAAAAAAATAAATAAATAGAGTTTGCCAAGGTATTTGACAACAAATTCAGGGATTATAATAATCTTTTTTTTATTTGTCATACTACAGAATTGGGTATTAGTTTTATAAATAGCAAAGTTTCAAGTGATATGCATGTCTTATCCCAAAAAAAATAAAAAACCTTGAGTTTGCCATGTATCAGATAAGTGAGTCTTGGCAAGCAGAACAGTGAAGCCACCATTTTAAAATTACATTTTGAGAAACTTTTTAGAGAGGTGTACAGATGTTCAGAGCTAATATGCAGCAACTAAATTTAAACATTCATTTTCTTTTTTTTTTTTCCCCTTATATAAATGCGTGATTAGGGAGAGAGAACTGAGCAGAGTGTTTTCACAGAAAAGTGGGGAAATTTTTATTTTTTATAGGCTGACGATGGTGATGATAATACAGAGTAATGGTCACTAATAGCTCCTCTTTCATATGAAAAATGTCAGAAAATCAAAGAGCACTTCCTAGTTTAAAAATAAAAACCGTTACTGTTCGTAGAGAATCCTGGCCTGGTCATAGGTCATAACAGAAAAAACTGAACATATTCTGCTGAGATTTGAAATGGAATTGGACAATTACATACTACCACTCAATTCCTATGTATTGACATATCAATTGACTAAACTTCAACTTTTTAAATACACGCCACCTTATCTACGTATGAAAAGGTGTATTTCACTTTTTAGAAATTAAAATACTAGTATTTTTATGTAATACAAAAGATTAGTGTGATATAGAAGTAAGAAAAGTAAAGTTTAGGACTTAGATATGTATACACAGGAATTGGGTATATATATATATATATATATATATATATGT